CCTAAGATAGTATACTTAGATTTATTGATCATTATGTACTTGGATGTGTTTCTGAGAAAGGCATCTCTCAGACATCTTTGAAAAAAAATAATTCTTTTTTTCCAATTTAATCTCTGGCTTTTTAAATTGTTTTTTTTTAATTTGTTATTATTATTATTATTATCATTTATTAGAATTTATTCAGTTTGTAGGCTGGCCGTGTCCCCTCCTCCCTTGTTGCCTTCCAGACCCACCCTCTCTCCTTCTTCTCCCCCTATGTCCCTCCCCTAGTACACTGATAGGGGAGGTCCTCCTTCCCTGCTATTTGACCCTAGCCTATCAGGTCTCAGCAGAACTGGTTGCATTGTCTTCCTCTGTGGACTGGCAAGGCTGCACCCCCTGGGGGTAGGTGATCAGAGAGCCTGCCACTTCATGTCAGAGAAAGTCCCTGCTCCCCTTACTCAGGACCCCACTTGGAGACTGAGTCTATGGGCTACATCTGAGCTGGGGTTTTAGGTCATCTTTATACGTTGTCCTTGGTTGGGATATCATTCTCTTTAGGGGCATCATTCTCTCTTTTAATTAATTAATTAATTTTTTGTATGAAAATAGTTTATTAGCAAACATCATCCAGTTAACATAAGAACAATTATATCACAGAACCCGATTGACTTATCTGGGGTATGTAAATTTTATTCAATATTCAAAAATGCAAATAACATAGTATTTGCAAAGTAATATGAAAAATCCAAAATATTTATAATTATATCTCTTGGCAAATGGGATCAGAAAGAGTGTGTTTAACGTGTGACTTGTGTGCAAAGACTACCAGAAAGCATCATCTTTAAGGCTGAAGTGGTGACTCTTCTTGAGACTGACAAAGCAAGGCTGTCCAGTTGAGGTCTAATGCCAAGCATTGGAGTAGAAACTGTGTCAAGACAAGTTCAACATGTTTTATTCATTTGGCAAAAGTAGTCTCTTCCTATAAAGTTATGTGTGTTCCTATAAAACAATCAGTCAAATTAGACGTTAACAAACACATTTATGAAGATGTATTCAGAAGCTTCATTCATGATAGTTAAAAACTAGGAATAGGAAAATGTCTAGCATCTACTTATCAATTTACCTAACGTGTATATTCATACCCAAAAACCCAATACAGGAGAGAAAGAAATTATTTCCTGATGCATGTGGTAGCAAGAAAACTAACTTAAAAAGTTCCCTTTTACATTATGTGATTCCACTTTTCTTTCTTTTTTTTTTTTTAAATACCAGCTCAGTAGACAGAATTTCATGGAAATATCAGAAACAACAACAACAACAACAACAACAACAACAAAAACAGTGATTCACTGCTCAGGCATCGAGAAGTACCTGGGCAGTTCCTGGCCAAGGTATGCTGCATAGAGCAAATCAGCAACACAAGAGGTTTATTTCGGGTTGAGGGGAGAGCAAAAGGCTGCCTCAGAGTAGGGATGGGTGGGGACAGGGAGAGAGAGACAGAGAGACAAAGACAGAGAGAGAGAGAGACATGAGGTGCTGAGTGGCTGCAAGGCAGGCCAGCAAAGCACCTGATGTTTACCACCCAGTACTAGGGTGGGGGAGAGAGAATCCAAATTTGAAGCGTTACACATTTCCTTCAGTGTGATTGTTTTCTCTACCAGCCACAACTGCAGATCCCTAGTCTCCCATTTGATAACACCAAAGCCAATTTTGCGACAGATACATGCAATCAACAATTCCATAGTCCGGAATAAACTGATGATTTTAGTTCACAGCAGGAAGGAAAAAAAAATTAACAAGCTGGTGACATGCTGAATATTAGAATATTTGGAGTTTAAAGTTCTAGGCATTTGAAAAAGAAAAAAAAATAGATGCAATGTAGATATTTCACTATATGTAAAATCAAAAAGACATCTACAAATTATCAGTAACATCAATAGGAAAGCTAAAATATTTAGGCCCTAATATATTGCTGCGTAATAATTTCTTTGTTTTTTTTTTAACTTTTTAAATCTTTTTTATTATTTTTATTCATTACAGTTTATTCACTTTGTATCCTGCTGTAGCCCCCTCCCTCTTCCCTTCTCAATCTTACCCTCCTACTCTCTTCTCCACCCATGTCCCTCCCCAAGTCTACTGATAGGGGAGGTCCTCCTCTCCTTCCTTCTGATCCTAGTCTACCAGGTCTCATCAGGACTGGCGGCATTGTCTTCCTCTGTGGCCTGGTAAGGCTGCTCCCCCTTCAGGGGGAGGTGATCAAAGAGCAGTCCAATCAGTTCATGTCAGAGACAGTCCCTGTTCCCATTACTATGTAACTTCCTTGGACACTGAACTGCCATGGGCTACATCTGTGCAGGAGTTCTAGGTTGTCTTCATGAATGGTCTTTGGTTGGAGTATCAGCCTCAGAAAAGACCCATGTGCCAGACTTTTTGGTTCTGTTGCTCTCCTTGTGGAGCTCCTGTCCTCTCCAGGTCTTACTATCTCCCCCTTCTTTCATAAGATTCCCTATACTCCTCCAAAAGTTTGGCTATAAGTCTCATCATCTGCTCTGATACCCTGCAGGGTAGAGTCTTTCAGAGGCCCTCTGTGATAGGCTCCTGTCCTGTTCCCTATTTTCTCCCTCCTCTGATGTCCTCTTTGCCTTTCTGAATGAGGATTGAGCATCTTAGCCAGAGTCCTCCTTCTTGATTAGTTTCTTTAGGTGTACATATTTTAGTATGTTTATCCTATATTATATATTTAATATTCACTTATGAGTGAGTATATACCCTGTGTGTCTTTCTGCTTCTGGGATACCTCACTCAGGATGATCTTTTTCAGTTCCCACCATTTGCCTGCAAATTTCATGATTTCCTTGTTTTTTATAGCTGAGTAATATTCCATTGTGTAGATGTACCACGATTTCTGTATCCATTTCTCAACTGAGGGGCATCTGGGCTGTTTCAAGCTTTGGGCTTTTACAAATAAAGCTGCTACAAACAAGGTTGAGCAAATGTCCCTGTTGTATATTTGAGCATCTTTTGGATATATGCCTAGGAGAAGTATAGCTGGATCTTTTTTTTTTTCAAGTATTGTCTACTTTTTTTTTTATTACTGTCAAGACTTTGTAAATTTTATTACCAATTCCATTTTTGATTTTATTTAACTTGTTTATGCTTTTATTTCTTTTTTCATTATTTTTTTATTAATTACACTTTATTCACTTTGTATTTCCCCATAAATGCCTCCCTCCTCCCTTCCCAATCCCACCTTCCCTCCCCCTTCTTCACGCATGCCCTTCCCCAAGCCTACGGATAGGGGAGGTCCCCCTCTCCTTCCTTCTGATCTTAGTCTATCAGATCTCATCAGGAGTGGCTGCATTGTCGTCTTCTGGATCTTGAGGGAGCACTATTCCTAATTTTCTGAGAAAGCACCAGATTGATTTCCAAAGTAGTTTTACAAGTTTATATTCCCACCAGCAATGGAGGAGGGTTCCCCTTTCTCTACAACCTCTCCAGAATGTGTCACTTGAGTTTTTGATCTTAGCCATTCTGTTGGGTGTAAGGTGAATTCTCAGGGTTGTTTTGATTTGCATTTCCCTGATGACTAAGGATGTTGAGCATTTCTTTAAGTGTTTCTCTGCCATTCAATATTCCTCTGTTGAGAATTCTCTGTTTAGCTCTGTACTCCATTTTTTAATTGGATTGCTTGATTTATTGCCTTTTAACTTCTTTAGTTCTTTATATGTACTGGATCTCAGCCTTCTGTCAGATATAGGGTTGGTGAAGATCCTTTCCCAATCTATAGGCAGTCATTTTGTTCTGACGATGGTGTCCTTTGCTTTTCAGTTTCATGAGGTCCCATTTATTGATTGTTGCTCTTAGAGCCTGTGCTATTGGTGGTCTGTTCAGGAAATTGTCTCCTGTGCCAATGAGTTCAAGGCTTTCCCCCACTTTTTCTTCTAACAGGTTTAGTGTGTCTGTTTTTTTTATTGAGGTCTTTGATCCACTTGGACTTTAGTTTTATGCAAGGTAATAAGTACAGGGCTCAGTTTTTACAGCTCAGTTGGTCTCTTTTTGGAGCTCCTGTCTCCTCCAGGTCTTTCTATCTCCCCCTTCTTTCATAAGATTCACTGCACTCTCCCCAAGTTTGGCTATGAGTCTCAGCCTCTGCGTCAATATCTTGATCAGTAGAGTCTTTCAGAGGCCATCTGTGGTAGGCTCCTCTCTTGTTCCCTGTCTTCTCCTAGTTCCAGTGTCTATCACGTTTGTCCTTCTGGTGGGAGTGCAAACTTGTATATCCACTTTCAAAATCAATCTGGCACTTTCTCAGAAAATTAAGAATAATGCCACCTCAAGATCAGCTATACCACTCCTGGGCATATACCTGAAAGATGCTCAACCATACAACAAGGACATTTGCTCAACTGTATTCATAGCAGCTTTATTCATAATAGCCAGAATCTGGAAACAACCCAGATGTCCCTCAGTTGAAGAATGGATACAGAAATTGTGGTACATTTACACAATAGAATAATATTCAGCAATTAAAAGCAAAGAAATCATGTAGTTTGCAAACAAATGATGGGAACTAGAAAAGATCATCTTGAGTGAGGTAATCCAGAAGCAGAAAGACACACATGGTATATACTCACTCATAAGTGGATATTAGCCACATCATTTTGGATAAACATACTAAAATCTATACTCCTAAAGAAGCTTAAATAACAAGGAAGGCCCTAGGGAGGATGCTCAATTCTCATTAAGAAAAAAATAATTCTTATCTGTGCGGCATGTTATCATTACAAATATGCTCTGAGAAATCAGTTGTGATAATTCCTCAAAGAATCAATCAAAATTTATTACATCATATCACTTGCTCTCAAAGTTCCTGACTAGCCTCTTCAGCATCCATGTTTTCTGCTCAGCAAAGAGGGACCAGAAACTATCCACAAGCTGAGTCATGATGGAGAACTTACTCATACAGAGCTGTCTCCACCACCACAGCCTGGCCCAACCTGAGAAACCCAGTCGCCTACCAGCAGTCTTCCTGCAGGCTTGCTGGTTGCAGTTTCGGAATTCTGGGGGTCTGACTTCATGGTCACAGATGCAGTGGTCTCGATCCTCAGTTGTACTGTTTTCTGAGGGGATGCATCGAATGGTCCTCTTCTGAGAGCCACCGCCACAGGAAGTGGTACACTGAAGGAGAGACACAGAAAGAGTCACAGTTCCTCCTCAGACTATCAACGGAGCATCTCTAATCCCACCACAGTCCACTAGAAGTCTAAAGAACCAAGAGACCTTTGGAGCTGGGCCCACTGTCAGAGCAAGGTGTAACAAAACACTGCACTGCCATGGCTGAAATCCAAATCAGTCCAAAATGAGAGTTTAGGAAGAGCCCCATGGTAGATGCTATTGGAATGACTTCAGTTTACTGTGCTAGTGAGCTTGTGAGCATGATCTGCTCTTCCTATGATGCAGCTACAACATTGGAGACTAGCTACCTATACTAATACCATGGACCCATGCCTACTAACATTCTTGACTCATTCAGGAGAAGATACTTGAATCAAGGAGGGCCAACTAGTCACTTCCTTGGGAGACCGTAACTGAGACACAGAAAGAGATTTTATTTTAGGGTGAATGATGCGAAAGTGAGTGTGGTTGGTGGCTACACTTCTTGCCAAGCCATAAGAGAGTAAACAAAACAAAGCAAAACAAAAAACAAGTTTTCTGTATAGCAATGGGATGGAGTATACATTCAGGGAAGAATGAGAATGGTGCTTGTAGGCTATACAGCCTTTATTCTAACTAAAACTCTCAACCCAAACACTCATTTTGACATTGTGACTCTATGACAAACATTCATCTTGACATTATGAATACATGGTGTGAAGCATGAGGAGGAAGACTGAGCTGAAAGGAAAATAGAAGAAAAATTCACTGTTTAGGCCACGGTGTTTTCCAGTTTCTTTGGTCTAGTACTGCTTGGGGGCTAGAGGTCATGCATAGCTAAAAGGCAGTTGCTATTAGAGAAGATGAGCAAGGCATGAAAAGGGAAGATAAAAACCAATGGGAAGTGGACATAGGTATGAATGAAGACTATAGTGTAAATAGGGCAGAAATGGGCCTATAGGTCTTTGAGTTTCCATCTTGCTGGACCATTGATCTCCAGCTGTACTGACACATAAGATACCTTTGTAACAGCAGGATTAGACACCTCCAGCAGGAAGGTAAGTTTCTGTTTTGTGTAAGCAGCTTTTTTTCTTTCTTTCTTTCTTTCCTTCCTTCCTTCCTTCCTTCCTTCCTTCCTTCCTTCCTTCCTTCCTTCCTTCCTTCCTTTCTTTCTTCCTTCCTTCCTTCTTTTCCTGAGACAGGGTTTCTCTGTGTAGCCTTGGCTGTCCTGAACTTGCTTAATAGACCAGGCTGGCCTCAAACTCACAGAGATCAGCCTGTCTCTGCCTCATCAAATGCTGGGATCACAGGCATGTACCACAGTGCCCAGCTTGGAAGCAACTTTCTTGTGGCAATTCCTAAGAATGTCTTTTCATTTTTTTTAAAGCTTTATTATTTTTTGTGTACATGAGTATTTTGCCTGCTGGGTGTTTCCTAGAACTGGAGTCACATATGGTTGTGAGCCACCATGTGGGTGCTTGGAACTGAACCCCAGTTCTCTTCAAGAACTCCAAGAGCTCTTAACTGCTGAGCCATCTCTCCATCGCTGTGTTTATTTTCTAAAATTATTTTACTTGAGGTAAAATACAAAGAAAACTCATAAAATTTACTATTGTAATCCTGTGTAATCTCTCTTCCTCACTCCCTTTTTTGTTTTGTTTTATTTTTGAGATAAAGTCTTATTTTGGAGATAAGGTTTTCTTTTTTAAGGTAGCCTTTTTTTGATAATTTTTTTTATTTTTATATTTTTTTACTATTAATTACACTTTATTCATTTTGTATCCCCCCATAAGTCCCTCCCTCCTCCCCTCCCGATCCCAATCTCCCTCCTCAACCACACAAGGAGAGCAACAGAACCAGAAAATTTGAACACAGGGAACTTCCCAGAGACTCATACTCCAACCAAGGACTATGCATGGAGATAACCTAGAATGCCTGCACAGATGTAGCCCATGGCAGTTCAGTGTCCAAGTGGGTTCCATAGTAATGGGAAGAGGGACTGTCTCTGACATAATCTGATTGGCCTGCTCTTTGATCACCTCCCCCTGAGGGGGGAGCAGCCTTGCCAGGCCACAGAGGATGACAATGCAGCCACTTCTGATGTGATCTGATAGACTAAGATCAGAAGGTTTTCTTTTTGAGATAAGGTCTTGTAGCTCTTTTGGCCTTGAATTCACAATCATCCTGCTTTCATTTCCCAAGTGCTGGGGTTGCAGGTGCGTGTAACCACACCACGCTTTATTTTAAACTTTGTTAAGTACACAGTGCAGCAGCCTTAAGAACATTCTCAGTGTCTACCAACCTTCTATTGAATTTTTTCATCTTAGCAAACCAAAACTGTATTTTCAAACAACTTATCACCATCTTCCTTCCCTACTCCAGCTCCTGGCAAACACCATTATATCTTTTTAAAATCCATTGATCACTGTAGGAATCTCACTAAGTAGAATCAGACATTTGCCCATTTGTGACCAACTTGTTTCAGTTAGCATAATTACTTCTAGTTCATCTGTGTTGCAGTGTGTAGATTTCCTTTCTCAGGTGGAATAATGTTTCGTTTATATCTGCCGATCCTGCTATGCTGCTGGTCAGAATGAGAGTCATCTTGGCGCTGCCCCACATTGTTTTTACACTCATCCGTTGAGGGACATTTATGTTGGCTCCATGTTTTGGCTACTGTGACACACACACATACTTATGGTTTTTACTTTATAGCACATTTTGTTGTATCTTTTTTTGTTTCTTAAGATGAAAAAAAAAGTGTATCTTTAGATTGAGCCAGCTGAACTCAGTTTAGATGGTCCTAATTTTTTTTCAATATCCAAAGCATCATAATCAGGAGCCAGCTGAACATATGCCTTCTGCTCTCCATCAGGCCTTATCAGGGCATTGACTTTGGCTACATCACTATTCTGTTTTAACAGGTGCTTGCTGGCCTTGATATCCACAAGGAACATAAATGTGTTATTTTCTGCTTTCTTTATGGCTGACTCAGTAGTCAGGGGAAATTTGATGATGGCATAGTGGTCAAACAGGGTCTTGGGATACTGGGAGGTGGGTGACACATGGGTCTTCTTTTTCGGGCCCTGGACCCCTTTCAACACTGCCTTCTTAGCTTTCAAGGCCTTCACTTTGGCTTTGGGAGGGGCAGGAGCTTCCTTCTTTGCTTTTGGAACCATTTTGGTAAACATGTGTTTTGTTATTTCTGAGACTTATCTTTGTTATATGAGCAAAACTTCCCAGAGAAGAATCAAGTTTCCTATTCTTCATGCTTCAAAGCAACCAGCAGGATCTTCAACAAAGACCCACTGACTGGCTGGCTCAAAAGGTTGCTGAAGAAAAGAGTCACTAAGCTTAAAAGAACCCATTTGCCATTTGAAATGTGATTAGAGGCTCAGAACACTAGATAAGAGAATTTCCAGATGTGGACACTACCAATCTGCACTGAGCCCCCACATCTCATTTCTCACAGAGACCTCCAAGACAGATGAGACAGGATGGCAAATGAGACTTTGTCTCAATGTCTCCTCATCTGTTTTATTTTACTGTATACAAAGCACGAGCCATAAGAGTGTGCAGCAAGAGGTCTCATGATTGAACTGGAATGTCAAAGTTTTCTGTGACTAAATCTGATGAAAATTTTAATCAAATCCTCCACAAGTATTGGCAAGAAACAGTGAAATAATTACTCAGGTGAAATAGTCAGTATCAAAAAATGTCTGTAACAAAGGCCAGAAAGAAGAAAGATAGAGAATAATCGAACAACACTCTGAAAGAATCCTGGACTAGGGAATTTGGGATTTCTGGTTTACTGTTTATCATCCTAGATATTTTAATCCCTCTTTCTTTTTCTGTATCTGTAAAATAAGATTGTTGCATGAAGACTAAGTGTATTAGTTTGGTTTCCTGTTGCCATAATAAACATTGACCAAAATGATCTTGGAGAAGGGAAGGCTTTGTTTGGCTTACAGTTTACAGTCCATCTTCTAGGGAAGTAGACCCAGGAAACTGGAGGCAGGTATTGAAGCAGAGTCCACGGAAGAATGATGCTTACAGAATTTCTCTTCAGCTCACTCAGTTATGTAACTGAGATCCACCTGCCCAGAGGTGGCTCTGTCCACAGTGGGCTGAGCCCTTTCACATTAATCATTATTATATTTTCTTTCGAACTCAGGCAGGACAAGCAGAACAAAGGCAGAACTTGTCTAACTTTTATCCCCTCCCCCAATTACTAATAAGACATTATTATTTATGCAACAAATAAACACTGGGAGTATAATCAATCTTTCTCTCAGTTACAGTTTAATTATTTTGTTTACTTCTCCATCAAAAGGGCTGGCCATCTGGCAGACTGCTTTGCAGGCAAAAGAAAGGTCTAAATTCACAAAGCCAGTGTAAGCCTAAAGCTACAACGTGTATGTGACTATATTTGGGTCTAAGAACAGATAATGACCCCAAAGACTTAGGGCCCCAAATAAGCATTCTATACACTGTGTACTTCTGGAACAGTTTTGATATTTGATCTTTTCTCTTTTGAAAGTATTTATAAATTTTTCTCTCTTCTAAAGCCTAGATAATGAGTGAGTATATACTCTGTGTGTCTTTCTGCTTCTGGGATACCTCACTCATTATGATCTTTTCTAGTTCCTGCAATTTGCCTGAAAATTTCATGATTTCCTTGTTTTTAATTGTTGAGTAGTATTTCATTGTGTAAATGTACCACAATTTCTGCATCCATTCCTCAATTGAGGGAAATCTGGGTAGTTTCCAGGTTCTGGTTATTACGAATAAAGCTGCTAGGAACATGGTTGGGCAAATGTCCTTGTGTAGTTGAGCATCTTTTGGATATATGCCTAGGAGTAGTATAGCTGGATCTTGAGGAAGCACTATTCCTAATTGTCTGAGAAAGCTCCAGATTGATTTTCAAAGTGGTTGTACAAGTATATATTCCCACCAGCAGTGGAGGAGGGTTCCCCTTTCTCCACACCCTCTCCAGCATGTGTTGTCACTTGAGTTTTTGATCTTAGCCTTCCTGATGGGTGTAAGGTGAAATCTTAGGGTCATTTTGATTTGCATTTCCCTGATGACTAAGGACATTGAGCATTTCTGTAAGTGTTTCTCTGCCATTCTAAATTCCTCTATTGAGAATTCTCTGTTTGGCTCTGTACCTGATTTATATATATATATATATATAAATAATATATTATTATATAATAATAATATAAATATATATGCACTCAAGAAGTTAAACAGCAAAAAAAATCAAGTAATCCAATTAAAAAGTCAGGCACAGAGCTAAACAGAGAATTCTCAATGTGTATGTGTGTGTGTGTGTGTGTGTGTGTGTGTATCTAGGGTTGGTGAAGATCCTTTCCCAGTCTGAACGCTGTTGTTTTGTTCTGATGACAGTGTCCTTTGCTTTACAAAAACTTTTCAGTTTTATGAGGTCCCATTTATTGTTTGTTGATCTTAGAGCCTGTGCTGTTGGTGTTCTGTTTAGGAAGTTGTCTCCTGTGTCAATGAATTCTAGTCTCTTCCCCACTTTTTCTTCGAACTGGTTTAGTGTGTCTGGTTTTATATTGAGGTCTTTGATACACTTGGACTTTAGCTTTGTGCAGGGTGATGAGTATGGATCTATTTACATTTTTTACATGTAGGTATCCAATTAGACCAGCACCATTTATTTATTGAAAATGCTATCTTTTTTCCATTGTATGGCTTTGGCATCTTTGTCAAAGATCAGGTGTCCATAACTGTGTGGGTTTATTTCAGAGTCTTCTATTTGATTTCATTGATCCACCAGTTGGTTTCTATGCTAGTACCATGGGGTTTTTATTACTGTTGCTCTATAGTACAGCTTGAGATCAGAGATGGAGATACCTCCAGAACATATTTTATTATAGAGGATTGTTTTAGCAATAATGGGTTTCTTGTTATTCCATATGAATTAATGAGAATTATTCTTTCAAGGTCTGTAAAGAATTGTGTTGGGATCATCCTGAGTGAGGTATCCCAAAAGCAGAAAGATACACATGGTATATACTCACTTATATAGATCTATAAGAAAGGATAAACATACTGAAATCTGTACACCTAAAGAAGATAAACAAGAAAGAGGACCCAGGGTAAGATGATCAATCCTCACTTAGAAAGACAAATGGCATGGACATTGAATGTAGGAGAAAACAAGCAACAGGACAGGAGCCTACTGCAGAGGGCCTCTGAAAGATTCTACCTAGCAGTGTATCAAAGCAGATACAAAGACTCATGACCAAACCTTCGGCAGAGTACAGGGAATCATAAGAAAGAAGGGGAGTTAGTATGATGGGGAAAGTATAGGAGCTCCACAAGGACCAAATATATCTGGGCACAGGGTCTTTTCTGAGACTGACATTCAACCAAGGACCATGTATGGATATAACCTAGAACCTCTGCTCAGATGTAGCACATGGTAGCTCAGTATCCAAGTGGGTACCCTAGTAAGGGGAACAGGGACTATTTCTGACATGAACTCAATGGCAGGCTCTTTGACCTTCTCTCCTTCCCCCGACCCCGAGGGAGGAGCAGCCCTGTTAAGCCATAGAGGAGGACTTTACAGCCAGTCCTGAAAATACCTGATAAACCAGAGTCAGATGAAAGGAGAGGAGGTCTTCTCCTATCAGTGGACTTGGAAAGGGGCAGGGAGGAGATGAGGGATGGAGGGTGGGATTGGGAGGGAATGAGAGAGCAGGATATAGCTGGGATACAAAGTTAATAAACTGTAACTAATATTAAAAAAATTAAAAACAAATAATTGTGCTGGCAATTTGGTGGGAATTTCATTGAATCTGTAGATTGCTTTTGGTAAGATGCCCATTTTTACTATGTTAATTCTCCCAAGCCATGAGAATGGGAGGTCTTTCCATCTTCTGGTATCTTCTTCTATTTCTTTCTTCAGACACTTGAAGTTTGTTTCATACAAATCTTTGATTGCTTGGTTAGAGTCACAGTAAGGTACTTTATGTCCTTTTGGCTATTGTGAAGAGTGTTGTTTCCCTAATTTCTTTCTCAGCACATTTGTCTTTTATATACAGTAGGGCTACTGATTTTTTTTTTGAGTTAGTTTTGTATCCAGGTACTTTGCTGAAGGTGTTTATCAGCTGTAGGAGTTCCCTGATAGAATTTTTGGGGTAGCTCATGTATACTATCATATCATCTGCAAATAGTGATACTTTGACTTCTTCCTTTCCAATTTATATCCCCTTGATCTCCTTTAATTGTCTTATTGCTCTAGTAAGGACTTAAAGAACTATGCTGAAGAGATATGGAGAGAGTGGGCAGACTTGCCTTGTCCCTGATTTCAGTGGGATTGCTTTAAGTTTCTCTCTGTTTAGTTTGATGTTGGCTATAGGCTTGCAGTATATTGCCTTTACTATGTTTAGGTAAGTGCCTTGTATCTCTGATCTCTCTAGTACTTTAGACTCTATCCTGCGGGGTATCAAAGCAGAGGCTGAAACTCATAGCCAAACTTTGGGCAGAGTGCAGGGAATCTTATGAAAGAAGGGAGAAATAGAAAGATCTGGAGGGGACAAGAGCTCCACAAGGGAGAAAAAAAAAAGAGTCTCACCCCAGGGGTCTTTTCTGAGACTGATAGTCCAACCAAGACCATTCATGGAGATAACTTAGACCCCCTGCACATATGTAGCCCGTGGCAGCTCACTGTCCAAGTAGGTTTCCTAGTAATGGGAAATAGGGACTGTCTCTGACATGAACTCTCTGGCCTACTCTTTGATTACTTCCCCCTGAGGGGAGTGCCGCCTTACCAGGCTTACAGAAGAGGACAATGCAGCCAGTCCTGATAAGAACTGATAGACTGGAATCAGATGGAAGGGGAGGAGGACTTCCTCTATCAGTGGACCGGGGGAGGGATATGGGAGGACATGAGGAAGGGAGGATGGGATTAGGAGGGAATGAGGGAGGGAGCTACAGCTGGGATAAAAAGTGAATAAACTGCAATTACTAAAACAATAAATAAAAAATAAATAAAAAAAGAACAAAATGCAGAGCTCAACTGACTGCAGTGTGTCTGCCCCCAGTTAATATAATTACAACATAACCCGTACACCTAAGGCTCAGGGGACATTGTAGAAGAGGAGTCAGTAAGATCGTAGCAGCCAAAGGACCAAGAATTCTGCTGTGAGATAGCCTCTTCTAAAAAAGTAAAAGGAGAACATGAAGTATGGGTTGGGGTGAGGTGGGGAAGACGGATGGATCTGGGAGGAGTCCAAGGGAAGTGTTGGGTGGGAGTGAAGATAATCATGATACATTGTATGAAAATCTCAAAGAACTAATATAAAATAAGCAAACATTCATGGTCTCCTTAAAAATGCCAAATGTGACCATTTTTATTAATTTCTATAATCTCCAATCTTAGCAATAATTTTTTATGTAAAGAGGGCTATAAGTTAGGAAATTTTAAAAATGCGCCATAAAATTTATTTGTGATAATAACAATAATCATAAATAAAATATTAAATATAAAGCCAAGGTAGAACAAAGCACCTATAACCAACTCTTACCAGGTCCCAATTCCCAGTGGCCCAATGACAGCAAAGGTGTCTGTTGCAGGGCACAGAGGATGCAGGTCTTTTTGTCCAGTCACAGAGGCCTCCTGGGCAAGAGACTTCTCTCTCCTGAACACCTCCTCCACAGGACCTGGAACACTGACACACAGCATGCGCAGTCAGTAAAAAGTAGGTGCCAGCACATTCAATGATATGAGCAACCTTTTTTGCTATCATTTTGGCTGTGTACTAGAGAACTTAGCATCAATAGGAGAGCCTGGAGCCTTCTTCCCTGTTTTTTTGTTGTGTTTTGTTTTGTTCAGAATACAGGTTAGGTTATCTGTATATGAAATGTAAAAGAACAGACATGATGTTATCAGTTTTCCTCTCTGGCACAAGTTTTCAATAACAAAAATGTGAAGTGTAGGTTTTTAAGTTTGTGATTATAGACCATAAGTTAAGAGCATTGGCTATACTTCCAGAGGCCTCAGGTTCGGTTCCCAGCAACCGCACAGTGGCTCAAACTGTCTGTCCCTCTAGTTCCAGGGCATCTGATGCGCTCTTCTGGCCTCTGCAGGCCCCAGGAGCACCCACAGTGTACAGACATACATGCAGACAAAACACCCACATGCATAAATACATTAAAAAAATTTAAAAATATATAGTTATCTATGTCACTCTTCAAGGAGAATGCACATTGTTTGCTTCCTACTGAAAAATGACAGTCTTCCTTCTCTTGCTATGTAGTTTTAGAATAGAAGTTGGTTTTTTTTTAAATTTTTGTTTTGTTTTAGATAGTAAAAGTGAGGGGTTTGCTGAGGAATGTGATACATGCATTGTAATATTCATAAGAGAAAACTCAAGATAGCAAGGTGAATTTCTGTAGGCATACACCTCTAAAATTTTAGGTTGTTGCTTATCAGAGTGATTTTATATGAGGCATGGTCTCATTTGCATGATGCGTCCAAGAAGAAATCAATTCAGTAATAATCTTTGAAAAGTAATGCCAAAGCAGAGGGAACACCTTGACAATGCCTCGCTTTAACATGATTGTAACAATAACAAACTGAGGTTGTGTTATCAGTGTCAAGGCTATCCCAGTAGGCACAATGTGTATGGCGGTATCACAGAAAACAGGAACATTATATATCATTAGCCACATATGCGCAATAAAAGAGCTCACACGTTGCCTTCAAAAGATTTCAGCTTTGAGAACCAACCTAGATTTCCCCTTCATTTATTCAATCTGTTTGTAACCCTATGTGAGGAACAAAGTAGAATTCTATTTGGGGGTTCCTGAGGCTCTGTATATGTGCAGATGGATTCAGGGCCACTTGACCAAGTAGAAAGAAATGAAAAATTACTATTGGTGCTTCTCAGACCAGCAGCATCGGTATCCTTTCCCAGAGAACATATACTATAAACTCAGTTTCCCATCTGAAATCTCCTAATTGAACCCTCTGGGGATCATCCCATCCTTCTGTATGTTAACAAACCTGCCAAATGATTTTGAAGCTGATGTAGAGATGTTGCCGTAGCTAAAATGCATAAATTCTTTAATTAGTCTGAGATGGCTGACATTTCTAAAATGAGCCCACAGCAGTCTCAGGATGGCAAGCCAGTAGGTAGAGCAGCATTATGACAAGTCAATGAAAACATCTAAAGGTATCCAATCTCTGAACATTTCCAGGAGTTTCCATTCCCATCTCCACTGTGTCTTCAAAGAGATGTCTTCCAACTTTGTAATTTTTCTCAGAGCAACATTAGAAACGTTGGTGGTCGGAGGCTGTTGGAGAACAGGTTGATATTGGGGCTCCCCAGCTACTGAGGAAATAACAAAGATAGTATCTTTTCCACAGTAAACAAGGCCTAGATGATAAATCATCATGGTGGGAGGCTGAGTCGGTCTCACTGTACAGTATGGCAGGCCTGGGGTGTATCATGTAGGCAAGGTTGCCTCCAACTCACAGATACTATTCACCTTCCTCTGCGTTTCCAGGGCGCTGGGCTTAAAGGCATGTGCCTCTGCTCCTGGCCTTTGACTTGTCTTTGATAGCCTGAAAATATATTTCTCTGACCTGGAAATCTCCACTTCTCTGTAAAATTTTCCAGGATTCAAACAATTTACCAGAACAGGTCCAGGCTAGGTTTAGCTTACGAGAGGAACTCAGAGGCCTAGGTCCATGCATGGGAGCAATGGGTACTCGATGCATTCCACAGCTGAGTAAGAAAGGGAATGAGGGAAAATAGAGGACAGTGTCCCACTGTCCTGCTCTACCCCAGGGAACACTACATAGCGGTTCTGATTCCTAGAAATCAGCATGAGTTAGTGGCCCAGAGTGAAGTAGGAAGTCTGAAAGGAATCAACTTTCTGTGCCAAGTCTGTGTTGTCAGGCTTCCTCTGTTCCCTCCTTGTGCACAGTATAGGTACCCTAAAAGAGTTAATGATTCAGTCTGTCTCTCTTGTTCACTCTGCTCAGCTCTCACTGGGCCAAGTTCTATAGAGGAGTAGCCACCAATATTTGAGTCTGCTTGACATTCGAAAGAAAAAAAAAGCCTATCATTTATTTTCTGGTTGTGCAACCTCAAGTGTATTTCTTAACCTCTTTGAGTTAAACTTTATCTGTAAAACGAAATGGATAAGGCATCCTGCCCATACCATTGTGAGAATTCAATGAGGCAATAGATAAAATACACCATGTACACACTTACAGTACATTATAGTTTTGGCTTCTTATCTTTCTTTGCTGCATGGGTGTACTTGGGGATCCCTATAGGCATTGATGTATTTATCTATTGGGAAAAGAGACTATATTTTATCAGAGAAAAATAATCTTGCTTTCATGGTCTAGACACAAAAATTCAGCAGAGCTCATCCTCTCACAAAAGAGACACACACACTCTCTTTTATTTGTGCAAACAATCATCTGGGTATTCAGTAGAGATATGAATCTAAAATTATATGGTGTGGGAAGGATCTGACCGTTAGTCTCAGCCTGACTGAAGAAGGCTTGGTCAGGTGTGCAAGGCTATTATAAATAGCTCATCAAAGTAGTCTAGTTTGAATCACTTCATTGTGTTCATATCACCAGCAGGTTCCCAATTACCCAATATATCCGTTGTGAGATTAAGTTCTAATAAAATGCTCCATTGTCATAGCTGAAACCATGCCATATTATTTTCCCAGCAGAATCCTTTCAGCTACTGCAAGGTTTTGACTTACTGTTTCTCTCATACAGTGTGGGCGAGGGTCACTAAATGGAACTGAATCTGTGGTATGATTCCAGTGTGGTCTTCTGCAACTTCTACACTCAAAAGTGGTAATACAACAACACATGGCCTAGTAGATTCATTCTCTGTGAGACTGTATGTCTCTTCCGAGTGCGATACCTGGCTCCAGGGCTCCACTTGCCATTCTTCACAAGGCTCCAGGTTACAGCTCATACTCAGTGGAGGAGGAATGCCAGCCAGGAACTGGCAGTGAAATGGCCTCAGGCTCCGGTGGTGGTCCTGGCTGTCCATGCACTGTATCTCACGTATCTTGAAGCCTCCACTGCAGTTTCTGGAGCACTGAATGGAGAACAAAAGCAGATTTAATATCCGAATCCTTGGCATTAGCACTCCACTGCCCATGCTAGAAGCATGACTCTTCCACAGTGATGTAAAGCACAGGGCACAGCCTGATACAGAGGGTGGTCGCTCCCGTTGAGTATCTATTCACTTCAAACAGACTAGCACTCAGTGCCTCTTGGGACGGGGCATTTTAGTTGCAATGGAAGGATGACTCTGACAAACCACCTTTACTTCTCCCTAGGAGCTCCACTACAGAACGGTTTATCCATGCTTCAGAACACACCATAGGTTATCACGCCTCCGAGGAAGGGATTGTATTAGAGAAATAAGCTGAATATCTGTTCAGTGGTTTGACTCATGGGGGTAGCCAAGCTGTCATTACCTGCCATGATCACTGAATGTTTGCCCACAGGCAGATGTCCACAGAAGGCCTTCAAAATGGCTTCAGTTGTATCCCTCTTTTCCCAACTCCAGCCCTGTGAAATGGTCCCTGCATCCTGCCCCGTATCTGGACATTTCAGGGTTCACCTGTTGGCTTTCCATGCTTTTTGTACTAGGACAGCACTGGTGGCTTAGGTGCCCGTGGCCAAGGCTTAACCTATCATCAGTTTCTCACTTGATTCTAGGATTTTCCCGATCTCTTCAGTGTCTTCATTTGCTGCATGTTTAGACCTGAAATGGGAGGACCAGAAGCAGGTGCCTACATTTATCAGCTGACTCTCCCAGGTTAACAGTGTGCCCCTGTGGTCCTTACATCCTAAATGTCCTTTCCTCTGATTTCTGAATCACATGCTACTATTCTTTTTTTTTTAAGCATCAAATTAAATGTGAAGACTTTAAAAACTTTACTCACCACAGTGTGTGCATATAGATCTGTATGTATCAGTATGTGTCTGCCACTGTGGCACACTTATGGAAATGAGAGGACAACTCTGAGGCGCTGATTCTCTCCTTCCAACTTAAGTGGGTTCTGGGGCTAGAACTCAGGTCCTCAGGCTTGAGAGACAATCACCCCTTTGCACTGAGCTAGCTCACTACTTTTTTAAAAATAGAGGTCTTCCTTAAATAAAACCTGCTCCTGTTACTCATTTCCATTCCTCACCTTTCAATGGCACAGTACTTGAAATGCAAAAGCTCTCATTTATTTTGCCCATGGTTTCTATCAGACTGTTACTGACACGGAGGAAGAAACCTCAGTGCCCCATTCAGCACTGTATCAGAGGCCCTGAGAATGGTGCCAGGGGAGCATGCATGGTCAGAGTGGATTTGTTGAATCAAGATAATGACTTAAGAGAAACTGCTAGTTAGACCCACAAAGGGTACATCAATTTCTGTAAGCAGCATTGCCTGCCTCCCTCCCTCCCTCCCCTTTCTTCTTTCCTGCCTCTCTCTTTCTACTTTCCTTTTTTAGTTTGTTTTTTTTTTTTTGAGTGTCTTGTCATGTGGCCCAGACTAGTGTGACATTATGAACCTCCAGCCTCAGCCTTCTGAGGGCTAGGATTACAGATGTGTGTCTCTATGCCTAGCAACAGCATCTTTATGTTCTCAGTTCTTTACAATGATTTCATTGGCAGTCTTGACAAGAAAAAGCATACTCTATGGCAACTCAATTAAGGAATTAAGATAACCTCCAAAGGCATGCATAGTTGGCTATCTCTCAGATGATTCTAGAACCTATCAAGTTGTCAACACTAAACACCAACTCTGTAACATGGGAAGACACAGACCCATTTGACAAAGGGGTAGATGGATGTTCTAATGTTTTCACAAATCAAATATGATCAACACTAGCTAGATAGCTCCAACAAAGCACAAATTTAAAAATTTCACATTTTAGAAATGTGAAAGTAGCTGCCACTTTAAAATTAGCTTTACTAGGAAAAGGACAGTTCACAAGAAATAAGTGCAATATGGGATTTCATTTTCTCATGTTCTATTTGTTTCTACAAGCCACGATTCCCAAATACAATTTTCTGATTAGCATTCTTCTATTGTTGAAAGCATATTCACATTCAATGGGAAATGAAATTTACTATCATGCTGCAGGCAGTCACAAGGGAAGATACTCACTACATTTGTGCTTCTGTTCTGCTTTCAAAGGGGCCTTACTTTCCATTAGCAGGGTGGAAGTCGCAGCATATTGGAATCATATGACTCTGAATGGGGTTTGCTTTTGGGTGGAGAATGCCAGTTACTGTGCTCATCTTCTTATTGCTCTGCTTGTTTGTCTATTTTCATAATACGGAGCTGGTGGGCCAGGCTGAGGATGGGAATGGCTAAGGGGAATAGAAAAACTGGCTAATCTTCTGTCAAAATCAACTAAGTCTTCCAGTTTTCCAGTTCCAGTGTCAGTTGTTTTAACAACCAAATCAAGGTATAATGAAAAAAATTCCATTCTCTCAAGAACTTTTTTTTTTTTTTTTTTTTTTTTTTTTTTTTTTTTTTTTTTTTTTGGTGGTGGTGGTAGATAAGTTCATAAAATATGTTGGATACTGAAAGTGTAAATTTTAATCTGAGTTTCCACGGCTTATGTTCCAAATGCTTATTCTATGTATAGAAGAAGTTCGCTGAGTTGTATAGACTCTGAGTCTGGCTAATTTTAGTGCGTGATATTCTTATTTATTTTCAAGTCTTTACATTAAGTTTATAAGATTAAAAAAGTAAAAATGCCTTTATTACTGGATTCACTGATAGAAATAAGATGAAAGGTCCACCTTTTCTTTGGGGGGGGATAGTTTTGTTTTGTGTCATCTTTTTCACATTGGATTCATAATAAAGAAGTTAAGGAACACAGGGTCAGGAGGTCATCACAGAGCATTTAGTTATGACACTGAAACCAAGTGTCTGCATGAGTGTGGATAAGTTACTTCTCTAAGGCTGCACTTCTTCACTGATGTTAAAATAATGATAAGCTGGGTGATGAAATGGTCCCAACATCTCCAAGTGTCAGAAAAGCATGGATCACTGCAGTTGTATTGTGTTGAGATTTGAGAATGTCCAAATTTTCAGGACAAAGATTGAACCAGGATATAGCATTTAAAGGAAAACCTTCCGTTTTACTTTTCCTTATGATGAATATATTCACAAGACTTTTAAAGTCAAATAACGACTCAAGAGTATATGGGTGGTATAAATTGGACTTGTTTGTGTTAGAAAACGTGAGGATACAATGTTAGGTTGATATAGAAGGGGACACTTATCTGGGAGGAGTCCAGGGATGAATATGGTCAAAATAGATTGGATGAGCTCCTCAAATAACTAACAGAAATATTTGCATAATTTTAAATGTCCCTCTGTCTCCCTACTTTATTTCTTCCCAGCTATTGAACAGTTACCATGCGCCAAGCTCTGCATCTCTAATGCAAGTGTTTTGTAATGGTATGCAAGGGGATTCACACACACAAAAATGATAGATGTGTTCCGTAAGTCATTTGGAAGACTTCATGATGTTACAAAGAAGAGGTGGTTAGCTTCACCTCATAAACCAAAGAAAGGCTTTCCTAATGGAGGGGAGTTTAGGCCAAATCTTCTAAGTTAATGCTGAAGGCAAAAAAAGGGAGGGAGGGGAGGACACAGAAGTAGAAAGAATGAGGTGCACAGAGACATGGCTAGTCTGTGAACAGTTTGTCAGAGTGAAAGAGGAGGGTAAGGGAGGGCAGAAAGAGATGGACAGAGGTCACCTTGTGGGCTGTCCATCAATGGTCTTGGGATCAAATTTTCTGTGGCTCCAACTGTATGAGATGACTAAATTTGTATTTTGTTGCTTCCATGTAATTTTTATTTCTCTAACTATCTTTCCTTAGGGATCTCTAAATTTAAGATGCTCAGTGTTGAAAAAAGAATGTGATAGTTTAAAAACAGAATGATATTGATATACCCAGGGTCAAATAAATGCAGAGATTCCTAACATGTCTGTCATATACCTTCTTGTCACTCAGTTTTGCTTCTTGGGGGATGAGAACACCTCTGTAATATATAATCTTATGTACTGGCTTCTATGAACTAAATTTTAATATGTTTCTAGGGATGTGCTTTGGATATGAGTAGGAGTCTATGTATATTTAGGAAGACTGAGGCTATTTTTCATTTTATTCATTGTAAAACTTCATCTTTATAAAATGTAGCAAAGTCATAGAAAATATGCAAACACAAAAGACATACAAACCTGGAAGACAGTGTAGTTAACAAATATATAACAGCTGACGGTTTAAGGACAGGCAGTAGTCTCCTCTTACTTTTCAGCAAAGCTACAGATCATAAGATCAACTATGGCTAAAAGAAAATTGCAGTGTTGCATAAGTGGGAAGATAGATTGCCCCCAGAGGGAAGCATATTTCTGATTCATATCAGGAAGAAATATGATTTGTTTGACTTAATTCCAGAAAGGACAGTGCTCAATCCAAGAAACATAACCAGGAGACTGTCAAATCAGTAGTTTTCAGAGGTGAAGTGACACCTAAAATGCTTTTATAAGGATGTGTGTGTGGCTGAAAATCATGGGTAGTTTAGGTGTCAGGCCTACTGGAGGGGCTTTGGAGAGCGTCTTTGTCATTTCTTGCATCTCTCCCATCGTAACATTCCATTCCCCTGGGAATTCCTTCTGAAATTGGTGTGTGTTACCCAATTGATGTACATATTTGTTATGCAGTGTTTCCTTCCTCCCGAAATGCTATAATTGGAGTGATGAGCTGTCCATCAGTTGACAGTTTCTTGTAACTGAGATTGTAAAATCAGCTTTATAAACAACCACTCTAAATCTCATTTTCCACAACAGAGATTACAAATTCTTTTCTTAAAAAATATTGGATGAAAAAGAATCTATTTTCTCTTTTAATTTATTTTTTATTAACTACAGTTTATTTACTTTGTATCCCAGCTATAACCCCCTCCCTCATCCCCACCCAACCCCACTCTCCTTCCCTCCCTCATCTCCTCCCATGCCCCTCCCCAAGTCTACTTACAGGGTAGGCCCTCCTTCCCTTCTATCTGATCCTAGCCTATCAGGTTTCATCAGGACTGGCTGCATTGTCTTCCTCTGTGGCTTGGCAAGGCTACTCCCCCCTTAAGGGGAGGTGATCAAAGAGTCAGCCACTGAGTTTGTGTCAGAGACAGTCCCTATTCCCATTACTAGGGAATCCACTTGGAGACTGAGCTGCCATGGGCTAGAACCCCTGCACAAATTCCTTTATATGTTAATAATGATATATATTTTTTCAAGCTTTGTCACCTGACGGAATTGGTGACTGCCCACTTCTGCAGGTAGTTTCGTGGCCTAAAGTTCATGGACAGCTGAGCAATTTGCTTAGCACTGGCAACAAACAACTTCTCTACTCTTCTCACAGGATTCGTCTGTCCATCAACCTCTTGCTCCAAGTCCAGGAAAGCCAGAAGGTAGCAAATGCCTAACAGGCACTCTGACCTTCACTGTTTAGCATAAATCTTGCCCAGAGTGCTTTTTTTTATTCCCCCAACAGGCTTTTGCCATTTATAGCTGTTTTACATGGCTGTAGAATGTTCCCAAAGGCCCACATGTGACAGCCTTGTTCCGCAGCATGGTGTTAATTGGGGTGGCAGAGATTTTAAGGAGTGGGGTGGAGTAAAGGATTGCCTGGGTGTTGGGCACAGGCCCTTGAAAGGGATTCTCCCTTGACATTTTTTTTTTAATTAATGTATTTTGCCTCCCCATCATGAGGTGGCAGTATTGCTTCACCAGGTGCTTCCTACCATGGATGCCACAGCCCAAAGCAATGAGACAAACTGGTCACAGATCAAATCCTCTAGCACTATGGGTTAAAATAAGCCTTTCCTTTTTCTTTTCCTTTCCTTTCCTTTCCTTTCCTTTCCTTTCCTTTCCTTTCCTTTCCCTTTCTTTCTTTCTTTTTTTGAGGGGTTTCTATGTGTAGTCTTGGCTGTCCTGGACTCACTTTGTAGACCAGGCTGGCCTCGAACTCAAGAGATCTGCTTGCCTCTGCCTCTTGGAGTGCTGGGATTTACAGGCATGCACTGCCATGCCCAGCTAGCCTTTTCTTCTTATAAGCTGATTATCTCAGGTATTTGTGTGGTGATAAAAGCTAACAAATAGACCTTTGTTCCTTCCACAACCTCATAAGTTAGGTAGGAGCAATACTATTAATTTATTTTTTAAGTGAGTATATTGACTCTCTTAAGTGGCTAGATGAATGGACCAATATGCACATTAATTAGTGACTGGGAAGGGCTCCCAATTCAGATGTGCCTGATTCCCAGCATACTACTGCCTGTGTGATGGTTTTGTTGCTGCGTTTTCTGAGAAAGAGCCTTGCTGTATAGTCCTTGCTGCTTCTGAACTCACTGAGGTTCAGGCTGGACTCAAACTGATGACAACCCTGCTCCAGCCTGAAGATTCTAGCCATGCATCATGATACAAAGCTTGCCTCTAAGATTCAATTCTATAGAAATATGCTTTCTCTAGCCCACATCTAGGGCAAACTTAAGACTACCTTGACCTTGTTTCAACCAGATTTAATGCAGAGAAGAAAAGCCATTCTGGTAAGCTGTCTCTAGACACAGTAAAGGTAGAAATCTAAATGTGCATCCTTGTTTCCTGTCAAACATATGACAGATGCACCCAAGAGCTGTAGCAGGCTTAGTCATGGGAAGGACACAGTTAGAGGCAGAGTGAGCCAAGCCATGTCAATCCAGACAGTGATCATGGTGGTGGGAAAATCCCCAGAGAGCAACTGGATGAATCAGGTATGATGGCTGGGGGCCGAGAGAAGACTGCAATACAGCTGGATTCTCAGGAATTGAAGAGTCTCTGTATTCTGGTAGAGAGTTGTAAATGAATGCAGAAGGGTTGAGGTAAAGTTGGAATTTTAATTCTGAGAAAGTCTGAAAAAGCAAACTGTCAACAACAACAAAAAATTAAACGCTTTGGTGGATAGAGGTGGCAGGATCCTAGCCAAATCCCAGAGATGATCTCCAGAATCTTTCATGTGGGACTTTCCACTAGCTAGAATTAATCAGGCTCAATTCGACCTTTTTGAGGTACAAGATGGGTCACTCATCTGTTCTTTTCATGTCATATAATTTCCATGGAAATGATTATTCTCAGTGATAGGTAAAGGGAATTTTGGGACATGGGCGGCACTTGGCGAAGACTGAAAAATGAGACATTTTTTAAAAGGTATTTTTGGATATGCAAGATAATTCACAGATAAGTAGTCTGTCTTTGTTGTATCCTGGGTTTGTTATTAGTTGGGAGAAAAAAAACCCTAAGAAATGTGAATTTATCCTTAAAATACTTGTAGTACGAACACAGAAACAGGGAGGTTGAGAGGAATCACTAAAATGTGTAGTGATTTTCTCAAGGAGCTAAAGCTACTCTCTTTCCCAAATTCAGAATCTTTCTCTGGAGGAAGGGTCATAAGGTACTCCGATGACATTTTATGTTCCTGCCAGAGGGTAAGTCTGTCCAGTGAGATACTTCATGTTCTGCTTCTGGGACACAACCTCACCACCGGACAAAAGAACTAATACCTAGACTTTAGAGGGTCTTGGGCCTTTGATGATTTTTTAGATATTTTTCTTTTTTCCAAAGTCTAAGCTATCATGGGAATCTGGTTCTTTGGAGAGGTGACAGAGATCTAGGAAAGCCTAAAGTTGGGCATTTAAGGAATACAGAATGGGTACCCAGAGCTCACACCTGCTCTTGCTACCTGCCTGGCCCTAAACTCTGCCACTGACTGCTATGTCTCCCAAGGTCTGAGTCAATTTCAGTCCAGGATGATGGGCAGATGGCCTGACTAGGTACCTTCAAAACATCTGGATTAACCTGAAAACTTGATCCACCCTTTCACAAGAGATCTTGCAGAACAAACAGTGAAATGAGTAACTTCAGATTAGCAAGTATTCTAAGCCACATACTAATATGGGAAATATACTTCTCTGTGGTTTTTTTTTAGAGCAGGTTTTATGTATCCCAGGCTCACCTAGAATTTATTCTATAGACCAGGATGACTCTTAACTCATGATTCTCTTTCCATGGCTCCTCAAGTGCTAGGATTACAGGTATGTACCATCATGTCTAGCCTTGGAATATACTTTTTAATGGCCAGATTATTCTTTAAACCAACGTAACTGTCACCACCACCACCACCACCACCACCACTATCATCTTTGTTTCCTCTGTGGGTGTGTATGCATGTGGAAAGGCTAGAAGAGAGCATCAGGGAGTTATGAATCTGGAGCTTCAGGGAGTTATGAACCACCCTATGTGGATACAGGGAGCTAGACTCAGTTTCTCTGTAAGAATAAAAAGCACTCAACTGCTGGACCATTCCTCTAGCCCCAGCTTATTCTTAGTGTTTCTGCTGACTTTTCATTTTAGGCAAATAAAATTGTTTTGTGAACAGCCATTGAGACATGGCTTAATTTTACATATGGCAATGTATAGTTTATTCATTATACAATTATAATTTTCATACGATGCAAAACTGAAATAATTTAAAAGTATTGTAGTGCATGATGGACAAAGCAACTCATTGTGAAAACTTACCTTTCTGTTCCATTTTATCTCACAAGAGTTAAGGACACACAGATAAAAAAATTGTAGGTTAATAACAAGTCTGACTTCTAGGTCTTGTATAACTTAGAGTAACTCAATGAAAGTGTTCTTGCTTTTTTTTTTTTAAAGAGACAATAGGGAGTCAGGGAAAGAGGAAGGGAGGAGAGTAGACGTCTTTGGCAAATGTTTACACAGGACCCACTCCTTTCCCTGAAAACATGGCTGCAGGGATTACCTTGCTCCAGTTTCCCACTCGCCAGCCGGCACAGGGGCGGAGGTGGCACTTCTTGGCAGGGTCTGGCTTCTGCATGGTTGAGCAGTCAGCGTCCATCCCGGTGCTACACTCCACACTCCTCCAGTAGGCTCCCAGTCCGCAGGTGGTGGAGCACTACAGCAGGAAGGAAGAAAGAGAAGACAGACTGAAAGCGTGGCTCAGGCGCACCCATCATTGGGATCCTGGAGCCAAAGGTTTCCTGTCCCACCTGCTAAGGTTGTCATGGATATGAATACACACACCATCTGAATGTCTGGTCGAGCAGCTTAAAATGGATGGCTTTCAAGGACTTCCTCAGTTAGGGAGTGTCGAGCTGTATACAAAAGGAAAGGCTAGTGTAAAGGGAGATGTGTTTTGCCTTTCTATGTAAACTGACACAATTGTGGCGGCATAGGCACACTGCCATATTTGATATCACTCCAGCTCTGAGTGGGTGGCAGATGTGAGCCTCTGCCTAGTGCCTCCTGTCTAATGTGGCAATGATTTTATCCACTTTCTTTCAATGGCAACCTTGTGGCACTCTTTATTATTACTACAGGCTAAACAAAGACGCTGAAGCTTAATGCTGGCATGCCCCATGGAGGAAGATGAGGTGTTCTTCTTCCAGAGCCTATATTGTATGTTCCAGAAGTTCCTCTCAAACTCTAGTGTCTCCAGGTAACATACAGGAACTCTGATAAATGCACATTCGAGATCTACAGTTTTCACCAAGTTCAGGTGATGCTGTTGCTGCTGATTCTCAGAGCACAGTTGGAAATGGGAGGAAATTACAAAATGCTGGCCTTCACTTCTTGATCCAGTGGCAGAGAACAAGGCAGAGGCCTTTTCCATAGGTAGAGTTTGTTTTTTCTCAAGGTGTTTCTATTCATTTATAATTCTTCATCATCATAAGTTTAGCTTGCATTTGCCTTGAAGATTTTGTGCATCTCTTTCCTGCTTACCCTTAGGAAGGGTAATTTCTGAATATGTAAAAGACAGCTCTGGGCACATTTAAAAAGTTTCTTTTGATAACTTATATAAATCCAGAGCAGCCTTATGTTCCCTTGGCTACACATTTGCCCTCTATACAATTTGGTGGCTCATCTGGTCATCTGGTGCAAATTTTGGTATTATATTTTGGTGTATATGCATATACATATTTCTTGTATATTATAGCACATATATTTGTATCTTAGGTAAGTTGTAAAATCACCGAAGAGAAAAGTCGACAACACCCAATGCCATAATCTTATTTCAGTTTTCATTTATAGAAGCAATTTCTTCTCCTCCTTAAATTTTTTTAGGGCTTGATCTGAATCTTTCCTGTTTCTCTTTGAACATAATTGTGCATCTACAGAATAGAGGCAATGACAGCTGACGTGCACTGACCGCCTTGTGGACTAAGTCCACTAATGTCCTCCAGTGTTCACCCTCATGCTCTCATCAAGAGATGGGGTCAGTTTTCTCATTCATTAAGCCAAGGCTGCTATTTTTAAATTTTCATTATTTATTTATTACAATTTATTCACTTTTTATTCCAGCTGTAGCCACCTCCCTCGTCCCCTCCCAATCCTGCCCTCCCTCCCTCATTTCCTCTCATGCCCCTCCCCCAGTCCACTGATAGAGGAAATCCTCCTTCCCTTCCATCTGACCCTAGACTATCAGGTCTCATTAGGACTGGTTGCATTGGCTTCCTTTGTGGCCTGGTAAGGCTGCACACAAAGAGCCAGCCACTGAGTTCATGTTACAGACAGTTCCTGTTCCCCTTACTATGGAACCCACTTGGACACTGAGCTGCCATTGGCTACATCTGTGCAGGGGTTCTAATCTCCATGAATGGTCCTTGTTTGGGGTATTGATCTCAGAAAAGACCCCTGGGCCCAGAATTTTTGGTTCTGTTGGTCTTCTTGTGGAGCTCCTGTCCCTTCCAGGTCTTTCTCTCTCCCCCTTCTTTTATAGGATTTCCTGCACTCTGCCCAAAGTTTGGCTATGAGTCTCAGTATCTGCTTTGATACCCTTCTGGGTAGAGTCTTTCAGAGGCCCTCTGTGGTAGGTTCCTGTCCTGTTCCCTGTTTTTTTCTTCTTCCAATGTCCATCCCATTTGCCTTTCTGAATGGGGATTCAGCATCTTACCCAGGGTCCTCCTTCTTGCTTAGCTTCCTTAGGTGTACAGATTTTAATATGATTATCCTATATTATATGTCTAATATCCACTTATGAGTATATAGCATGTGCGTCTTTCTGCTTCTGGGATACCTCACAAAGATGCCAAAACCATACAATGGAAAAAAGATAGCATTTTTCACAGAAGGTACAAACAAGGCTGTTCTTATGTCCTCTTTTGGCTAATAGGACATGGTGGCTAATTCTATGCTAGTTAACAGGTCTTGTCCTACCCTTTTGCTCTGGACTCTGCTTTCACCATGAGCTACACATCAGAGGATGACAGCCAACACAAAACAGAATCAGACGACTCAGCTGAAGCCACCCCAGGCAAGTTTTCAGCTGACACCCAGAAGGGACCTGAGAGGACAAACTGAGGTCATAGAACCTCCTTGTTGATGGCACAACTATACAGTAAATAATCACAGTTCTGCTGTTTGCTAACTGTGTGCGCCTTTGCAAATTATTTCCCTAAGCCTGGAAAACTGGTGGCAACAGTAGGCTCCGTCATGCTGGGTTGCTGTGAGGACTGAGGATTACTTGCACGTATACCACCTTGCATAAGCTCACACAGACAGAATGCCATGCTGTTAACGTAATATTGTGACATGGAGGGAAAATGTAACATTTAAGAACGCTTACGAAGGTTGCTAACGAGACCACATTGCCAGCTAGTAATGATCTCATTAAATCGCAAGAGAAAAAGCAACAGTTCTTTGTGCAATATTTATGCTGCAAATCGTATATATTATTTGAGTAGCTTGGGGTTTGATCCTCCTCATCAGAATTGGTTTAATTTTCTTTGACACTTTCTATTTAGTCATCCTGCAACAGTCCAAAAAACAAAGCTGACAAGAGGAAATCCACAGTCTATAGAAAAAGTGAAACAAAAATTGCATGCTGTAGATTAGAGTCTCTTCTTCTGTTAAATTACTTTCAAATAGGAAGTAAGAGATGGGTGAAAACAAGAGGACTTTGAAGAAGTAGAGAAGTAAATTCATCTGTCCTGGGGCCCTTGCAGCAACTGATCCATCAGGTCAAGGAGCAGGTGCAGGGTGATAGGACTGCAACAGATATGGAGGGTCAGGTCAGCAACACCTAAAAAATAGCTCTGAAAAGAAGTGGAAAATTATACTGTCACTTTCATTCTACTTGACTACACAGCCTACATTTAACCAACTGGCTGAAAGGGATCTGACTGAAAGAAGATTCAATTCAATGAGATGATGGATTTTGTCAAAGTAAGAGCTATAGCAATGCACAGGGCACACATTTAGTTTCTCTGCTATGTGAATACCAATTGAAATCTCCTCTGGTTCTTGCTATATTTCCTGTGTTCTTTTGTAGCCACAAATATTTAGGAGTCAGACATGACTGAGGGAGTGACAGGATGCAGTTACTCAGGGTTCACATCCAGCAAGTGCATTTTCAAACCGCATACCTTTCAAAAGGGTCAACTTAGTTTTTGCATCCGTTATTAATTCTGAAATCTTAATTAGTAAAAGAGATGTGTTATGCACAGCGAGGGCTTTTGGCAGTCTTTTAATGAAGGAGAAAACTGGGAGCATATCTTAACAGAGACTTCTGATGAAGCCCTAAGAAATCTTACAAATGGTTTCTGGCTTAGGGATCAGAAAAGCTTCATAGGAAAGGAAGCTTAAAATGACCCCAAAGAACATGCAGGATGTGAGGACAGGGTAGGAGGGGTATGAGATCCCAGGCAAAACAAAACAAAACAAATGGTGGCATGGGTCAGAGCACTGGACAGGAACAGAGAATAAAGAATAAAGGAGACTGGGCAATTCAGAATTCTGAAGGGCAAATTGGATGCAGAAAAGCAGCAAGACTAGAAAGTTGGCTTATGTAAGGCTACACTGCCAATTTGATGTTTGATTAGACTGTTTTTTTTTATTCCCTCCCTTCTTATTATTGACTTAGTGCATCTCATTTGATCTGTATGTACTAAAAAGACATATTTGTAATCAGGACATTGGAGTGGTTGGAACAGCCCTCTTACATCTCTTGTCATAGTGTGTGGAAAGGATTGGAAAAGGGATAGAACAGAGGCACACAGACCAGCAACAAGGCAAAGGCAGGTGTCCTGAGCAAGAACATGCAATGAGAAGCCTGCATCCTTTTGTTTGGTTTTGTTTTGTTTCGCTTTGCTTTATGGGGACACAATTTCCATAGCTGGCCTTGACCTAACAGATCCGCCTGTCTCTGCCTCTGCAAATGCTGAGATCACAGGCGTGCACCATGTCACCCACCTTGAGATCTGCATTCTTTTTTTTTTTTTTGCATTTTTTAAAAATTTTTCATTAATTACACTTTATTAATTTTGTATCTCCCCATAAGCCCCTCCCCCCTCCCCTGCTGATCCCACCCTCCCTCACCTTTCTGCATGCATGCCACTCCCCAAGTCCACTGATAGGGGAGGTTCTCCTCTTCTTTCTGATCTTAGTTTATCAGTTCTCATCAAAAGTGGCTGCATTGTCCTCTACTGTGGCCTGGTAAGGCTGCTCCCCCCTCAGGGGGAAGTGATCAACGAGCAGGCCAATCAGATTATGTCAGAGGCAGTCCCTCTTCACATTACTATGTAACCCACTTGGACACTGAACTGACATGGGCTACACCTGTGCAGGGGTTCCAGGTCATCTCCACGAATAGTCCTTGGTTGGAGTATGATTTTCTGGAAAGTTCCTGTGTGCAAATTATCTTGTTCTGTTGCTCTCCTTGTGGAGTTCCCGTCCCCTCCAGCTCTTACTATTTCCCACTTCTTACATAAAATTCCATTCACTCTGCCCATCAGTTGGCCATCAGGCTTTAGCATCTGCTTTGACAGTCTATACTGCAGAAGCTTTCAGAGGCCCTCTGTGATAGGTTTCAAGGTTGTTTACTGTTTTCTTCTGGCTTTCAGAGGCCCTCTGTAGCAGGTTCCGAGGTTGTTTCCTATTTTCTTTTTCTTCTGATGT